CACATGCCTGGGTTGTGGGCCAGGTCCCCAGAGGGGGCAACCACACATTGATGTTTCTCTCCTACTCTTTCTCCTTCCCTTCCCCTCTCTCTGAAAATAAATAAATAAAGTATTTTTTTAAAAAGTTAATACGAATTTCTTTGTTCTTACTCCTCAGTTACTGTTACTTGCTCTCCCTGATCCTGCTGACTCAGCTGCGAGCCCCCTCCTGGGCAGGCTATTAGCCATTACATTCATCCTATTGATTCAGCGGCTAGCTCCCCTTCGGGGCAGGCCACTACAAATTCACTTCAGGAATAATTCATAACATTTAATAAGTATATTCAGTAGTCTGATACCGATGCTTTGATGGCTTCGTAACTGTAATGAATTATGAATTTCTAGAATGTCATATTCCACAGTATGTACAAATGTCTTTGGAAAGATTCTAAAGATCATAAAGATATTGTCTGGAAACCAGCAAATTAGGAACATGTTTTTTTAAACCCTTTATGAACAATAAACATTTTACAGATATATTTGAAAAGATTATTTATTTATTTATTTTTAGAGAGGGGAAGTGAGAAAAAGAGGGAGAGAAACATTAATGTGTAGTTGACTCTCACATACTCCCTCCTGGGGACCTGGCCTGCAACCCATGTGTGTGCCCTGAACGGGAATCAAACCTAGAACCCAAGTCTCATTTATGTTAAAAGTACAGAAGCTGCCACATCACGTCACCAACTCCAGAGAATATAGACAGATAAGTAATTTTAATCAAGTGAAGAAATAAGTTTTCAAGCCAATAATCAACTTTTATTTGAGATGATGCCAAAATGTTGTAGGAACAAAAGAAAAGGAGCAGTGTGTAAGAGAGATGAGGAAAAGGGAGTTGAGAAAATAAATTTACTCAACAAAATGGAATAATTTTAACTACGTTCCACTATCAGGAACACTTAAAAAAGGCTGGATGAGGGAACGTTCTGTGAAATGTGATAAGACAAGAAGATATGATTAAAAGAAACTGTTAAGGAAAGAATTTTGAAGATCGATGGTATAAAAAGCTAAAAATCCAGAGTGAGTGCAGAAATTGACTGTGGAAAAAGAAAAAAAATCATATACAGCAGGAAAAAAGGGTTAAGAAATAAGACTTTAAAAATAAATAAAACAAGAAAATTCAATCTCTTTAAAAAGAAATAAGACTTAAGAGAGGCTGATACATATATGGAGGACAGAATAATAGATAATTACTGTGATTGAAAAAAGAGAATAGGCAAGAATTCAGTGGGTATGACTTTATTGCTGAAGCTGGTAGGAGAAATACATGGAAACATTTTATCAGAGACATATGAATAATCACTGGTAAAGTAAAAGCAGATTGTGTATTTTCTAAATTGCCAGATCAAAAGATAATTTTTTTCATTTTTACTGTTTTTATTTTACAGGATATTGTTCTTCTGTTTTCCTAAAAATTATGGGAAAACCTCTTTTGATGTAAAGATAGATAATGCAGGTAAAATCTGTTATAGGGAATATGGGCAACACAGTATGCTTAAGGAAATTCTAGACAAAATGTTCTTGAAGCGATACCCCACAAATCTTTAGCTCTTCCAGGATAACTAAGTTAAAAATGATGCTAAATTTTTTTGTAATGTAAATTTAAAGTTTTAAAGAATTTTGGAATGATAACTACTTTTAGTTATCAACAAAATAATCAGATTTTTCTCTCCTATGTTGGCTTTTCTGGGTCAAAACTTTCCCAGAAAATATGTATATTTAGACAAAGACAAAACTTTAAAATATAGTGGCACAAAATTACAATATATTTTTAACTACTATAGCTACTATGTAGTTAATTAAGTTAGCTACATAGGTAGGTGACTGTTTTAGTTTTAAAACATACTGAATAAATCTTACTCATACCATCCCTTAGCTGTCTTAAATATTAATGGCACCAGACACAAAGTCTAGGATATTTCACAATCAACATAAGGCCTTGCTCTGGAGACCTAGGAACTGAAAACAGAAGCTATCTGCTCCACTCTACACTTTAGACAACCATGTTGATCTGTGATAGGGAAGCACTATAAACTTCCATTTGGAGAGGAGAGATTTAAGAGGCTCATGCCATTGTTCTAGAAAATCTGAAATTACACTGGGAACATGCCATGATGTCTCACTGTTTTTTAGGTATAAGGAATGTTCCCTTGATTAGGATCCAGTTTCCCCTGAGAGTTTCTTCCATGTCTTTTGTCTGATTGCTTTGAGAGGCAAAAGATAAATTTTTTAAAGTACAGACCATATAGCAAAAGAAAGAAAACAGGAAGGAAGCATTAAAATATATAAAGATAAATACCATTAAAAATAAGACAATATATATTAAAGCCCATTTATGTGGGATATTTCCATGTATTTATTTTTTTTAAAAACTCAGATTGGATCAAAAGAACAAAACCTAAAAATGATTCAATTATATTTAAAAATGGGCAGTGATATGCGAATGGAAGTTTAAAAGTGTTGCAATGTTATTATCCAACAGAATGGGTTCTGGATAACAAGTATTGCACATAAATGGAACACTTTATAATGCTGAAGGTATAGTCTGTTTTCAGATAGAACTCTCCTGAACTAAACAGTACATTCAGCATACCACTGAAACAGGAAATATACAGGAAACAAAAAGATAATTGACAAAGAAAATATTAAGAATAGTATATAGATAACAGATTGCTGTTTCTTTGTTATTATTCTCTTTGCTCACATCCAGATAAATAACTACTTAAAATGTTTACATTTTTTCTCTTTATTTTGTCTGCCCTTTACAACCACTGTGGATATGACGTGTGCAGTCTGTCAAACCTGTCCCTCTTTACCCCGCAGATTATCTAATGTCCTATTTCACAAAATAGTGGCCAAAAGACCTAAGTAACCTTACTCATCCACCCACTCTTCCTTACAAACTGTTTTGCTCTTTGCATAGAAGAGATGTTTCTCATTCTAACACTGAGTTTACCATTTCCCCTCTTCTTCTGGTGTCAATATCGTGTCCTCTGAGATTAACAGACTATATCTCTAGCTCAGATCTCTCCTACACCACTCTCCTGAGATGCCCGTAAGGCATCTCAAACTCATCATGCTAAAATTGAACGCATCACTTTTGTCCCTGATGTAGCTTTCTCTAGAATTCATTACTTCAGTGAATAGAGCCATGATCACTAGAGTACTCATTTTCACCTTGTCGGAGCCATAGCTCGTGATTAATGGGAGGCATAGGAGATTTACCTGTACTATGAATGGATTGTTTTAGCTATGTACAGAAATGTTTGTCATATTATTTACAAAACAAGTAGTGTAATCATTGTTTTGGCAATGGAACGTTTAGGAGAATTACCTGTACTCTATGACTGCTGCTTTTTTCTTCCCCAAGTTCATACCTTTGCCATGTTTCTTAGGGCATTTCTTTGGCATTTTCACTTTGAATATGGGAAGTAACTTTCTCCATTGTTCAAAGAAGACATGGAATCATAAAAATATATAAAGGAAAGCCTGGAAAAGGTTTCCTGGAAAACGAGATGGTAAAACTATCAACATGGTGAATTGGTACTAATGGCACTTGGCTGTGGAAAGAGGTAGCAGGAGTAAAAACAGGAGGCTCTGTCTATGCAAAGGCAGGCTGACTATGTACATAAGCCAGTTCTGGTCAGTTATCTACTCGTTGACAATTGTTGAATCACAGTACAAAGAGAAACTCCTCTGTACTTTCCTGAGGAAAAGTGAACTATAAAGTTTCATGGACTTTTAAATTGCCCTTTCTTTAGAAGAGTAGCAAGAAACTGCTTTATCACTATTTTAAAAGAGTTTGACAACATAATTTTTGCTATTAACTGGATATTTTAATATTTGTCCTGTATTTTTTTCATTTTCTATTGTAACTGTGGTGACAAATTACTATAGAGTTATTTGAGTGTCTTGATTGTCAAAGGAGTAGGGAATGCATGAGGGAGGGAAGGTGCTATGGTGGTATGTATGAGAGAGATATTTACGTTTATGAAAGGGAAGTGGATGAGTTACTAAGTCTGAATATTGCTTAAGAGTTTTAAAATTGTTGAGGCAGGGACCAGGTTAAGAACCCCAAGATTTAAAATTTTGAGAAAAGCCAGGACCAGAAAGATCTGTTCTAGTTCTCTCCACCTACTGAATGCAACTGAATGGTTATTTGGAAACATTTTTCCGGTTTTTTTCTTTTATTGCAGGTGAAATATTAGTGCCTTGGAGGGATATTCCTAGTGCCACAGCATAAAAAGGATCCACAGCAGCAAATGTGGTATCATTACTGATAACTTAAAAGGATGTGAAAGCTCTTATTTCTACATAGCATATTGAACCAAATTAATACTAAGAAATTGTCTCGATATTGAGTGAAATAGTTTCTTCATTGTGCCAGCTTAAAATAAGGACCATATAATATGTAATAAAGTTTCAAACTAAGCAACACCTTTTATTTTAAGGCATTTAAAGATAGGCTGCTTTTGTAGCCGAAACAAGGTAAGTGCCTTATAGTCTAAAGGTGCTGTTTCCAAGTACATGTCCCTTTACTCTCACTTCTGCTTGCTGGTTTCAGTCTGCAGGTGCCTGTCTCCTTTTAAGGGAGTGGCACAGTCACTCTTCATCCCGCGTGTTTCAGATGTCACAACTAGCTGAGATGGACAAGTGGATATGGAATATGGGTGTTCGTAGTAGATGAGGAAATGGCATATCTCTTACAAATATTTTTGTTTTTAATGTGTTAAAATGCTAGTAGTTTAAACTACTTTGTAAGCACAGGTTTTAAAAAGCAAGCTTTTGAGTTGGGGACCATTCTAACAGCTTTCTTAACAGGCTTTTACTTTGTTTGCAGACTTCTTCCATCTCAGTACCATAAAAAGGACAACTGTTTGAATATCCTGTTTTCTTTTAGAAACAGTTGTCTATAAGATCATTAATTGCTTAATGTAAATTTTTTCTTTTATGTTTTCTGCTAGATATTAAGGCTGAGACATACTACAGTTGTAACAACAAAGAAAAATTTGGCTGCCTTAAGACGTGAAACCTACACAGTGGATTTTATTAAAAAGCAGATTGAGGAGTTCAACCTAGGAAAGAGACATTTAGCCAACATGATGGGAGAAGATCCAGAAACTTTTACACAAGAGGATATTGATGTGAGTACAGCTCCTCTGTTGAAAAGTGATTGCTACAAAGGTGTCCAGCCTTTTGGCATCTCTGTGCCACACTAGAAGAAGAAGAGTTGTCTTGGGCCACACAGTAAATACATTGTGACACATGATCACAAATAAAACTCATAACGTTTTAAGTGAATTTACGATTTTGTGATGGGCTGCATTCACAGCCATCCTGGGCTGCATATGGCCCGTGGGCTATAGGTTGGACACCCCGATAAAGTTTTAGATATATCATAAGCACTGTTTTCCAGCTTGAGCTCTTTATCTCTTTGTAAACTTTAATGAAACTGACAAAATTTTAAAAATGCCACTATACTTTGCAAGTTGAAACTGTGGTTTCAAAGACAGATGCTACTCTGTATTTGAGGCATAATAAAGTATAATGAGTTTTAGACTTTTATTTGAAATGGATACTTTCTTTGATTTAAGGTCATAGGAGCCACTGTGAATGCTTATACACAATTTGGAAATATTTATACAGTAGTATAGACTTAAATTTGGCTTTCTTGCAGAATGATAAAACAAATGGTAATGGAAATATACTTAAGTTTATAGGAGATTCTATAAGTAAACCTAACCCCAGAGTTTTTACCAACTATATATTTACATTTTTTAAGTGAGGGCATATTCTAAGTGATTTAAGAATGTTATGGACAGGAAACCTGTCCCGGAGTGGGTCTGCATAAGACCAGCTGGTAGTTTGTGGGTTTTGGGCTTTGTGTGGGAAAGATTTCACAACACCAGCCCAGGGGACTATGAGAATATATTTCTTAAAGCTGGAGACAGTAAACAAGGAAGGACTTAGTGTACAAGAAACAACAGGCTGGGTTGCCTTAGCTCACTGGGAAGGCGGAGAAAAGAGGGCCTTGGGGACAAGTTTATGCCGGGGTTGGACTAGGGCGAGCTGCCACTGCCCATCATTTCCCTGGTTGCAATTCTCCTGGGGACCCTTGGAATTTAGGAGATGTGTGCCTGTGGCAGAATAAGAGAGGGAAGGGAGTGGTGCAGACTGTTCCCCAAAGGGCAAGTCCAAGCTGAGTCCTTTGTCTTAAGGTGTTTATTTTTTTCTTACAGGTGGGAATCTTAGTGGAGGTCTCGGGAGGGATTTAGCAGAAAATTCATCAGGTTTCCAGGTGTGCTCTTTGAGGTCATGATCTTCACTGATTGGTCGATGCTGGGTCAGGGGGGACATTAGATGTTGCAGCCAGACTATTCCTGCCATCACCCACCTCATTTTACTGCTTTTCTGGGGCTGGATCTGAATAGAACTGAGGCCTAGATGTTATATCTAGAGAAGTATCTTTCTGTATCTGGCTGTAAATTGCTTGGCCAATTTCTTCAGCCATGTGTCTCAGTTTTCCCATTCTACTCGCCAGGGAATTTTCCTACGTTCTTGTTACTCTCCTGCCTCAAGAATAGGTTAGAATACTGACTTCTAGCCAAGATGGAGGCGTAGATAGACACACTGGGCCTCCTCACACAACCAAAAGAAGGACTACAACAAATTTAAAAACAAAAAATAACCAGAACTGACAGAAAAATCTAACTGTGAGGAAGTCCCACCACCAAGGAGGTAAGAAGAAATATTTATCTAGAATGGTAGGAGGGGCAGAGATGGGCAGCTGGAGCAGAGGGGGCTCGCGGCAAGGCGGTGGCTGCTGCTTGGCCCAGCAAGGCAGCGGATTGTGGAACAGGGTCTAGAATGCAAGGCAGCTGGTGGACAGGGTGGTCCCACATTCGACTGCAGATAAACCAGGCAAAACTGGGGAGTGGGACAGACCACACAACCCAGAGTTCCAGCTCAGGGAACTAAAGCTTCAAACCACTGATTGAAAATACCTGTGGGACTTCCGCCAAGATGGAGGCATAGGTGGATGTGCCGTGCCTTCTCACACAACCAAGTTTAGAGACAACTAAATATTAGCAACAAAAAACACAGCCAGAACACGGAAAATTGAACTTTTCGGAAGTCCGTTAACAACAAATTCTTCAGCCTGACCGGTAAGGGGCAAAACCAGCGGCTGGTGAAGCGGGGTTGCACAGGAGGTCTCGGTCAGATGACCTCAGGCGCGGAATCCAGGTGCAGGGTTGGACCTAGTGAGCAACCGAGCCAGCGACCGCGGGGGAGACAGCGGGGAGCGGTGCTGCGTGTTGACTGTGGTCGCGCATTTGTGCGCGGGCGGACGGGCGAGGGAGTGGGCGGTTGGACCAGGCCGGCAGGTCCCCGCGGCAAGCGGCAGTGGAGGGCGCTGCCATTTCCCTGCTCTGACCCCACCTCCACATACAGCGTCATAACCCAGCAACTCTGAGTGGCCCAGCCCAGGTGAACCACCTGAGGTGCTGATCCTCACCCAGCTGTGAGAAACAGCAGAGGGAGTCGCCATTTCCCCGCTCTGACCACGCCACAGCGTCACAACCCAGCGAGCTGGGAGTCCAAGGCTACGCTCCTCATACTTAACGGGCACGAACAGATCAAAAATGGCGCAAGAATCTCAAAGCCCCAGAGCCCATAGATCTAAGCAATGAAGAAATAGCAAAACTCTCAGATGCACAGTTTAAAACACTGGTCATCAGGATCCTCACAGAACTGGTTGATTATACTGACAAATTAGACAAATATATGAAGGCGAAACTAATTGAAATGAATGGAATTGCACAGGAAACAAATAGCAATGAAAAGGAAACTGGGACTCAAATCAATGGAGTGGACCAGAAGAAAGCAACTAATGGCCAAACAGAAAAGAGTCAAGAAGCAAGAATTCAAAAAAGTGAGGAGAGTCTTAGGAACCTCCAGGACATCTTTAAATGCTCCAACATCCGAATTATAGGGGTACCAGAAGGGGGAAAGGCACAGCCACCAGTGGAAAACTTATTTGAACAAATAATAAAGGTGAATTTCCTCAACCTGGCAAAGGAAATAGACTTCCAGGAAATCCAGGAAGCTCAGAGAGTCCCAAAGAAGTTGGACCCAAGAAGGAACACACCAAGGCACATCATCATTACATTAGCCAAAATTAAAATGAAGGAGAGAATCCTAGAAGCAGCAAGAGCTAAGGGGACAGTCACCTACAAAGGAGTCCCCATCAGACTGTCAGCGTATTTCTCAAAAGAGACCTTACAGGCAAGAAGGGGCTGGAAAGAGGTATTCCAAGTCATGAAATTCAAAGACCTACAACCAAGATTGCTCTATCCAGCAAAACTTGCATTTAGAATGGAAGGGCAGATAAAGTGCTTCTCAGATAAGATCAAATTGAAGGAGTTCATCATCACCAAGCCCTTATTATATGAAATGTTAAAGGGACTTATCTAAGAAAAAGAAGTTAAAGAAACATGAACAGTGAAAGGACAACAAACTCACAGTTATTAACAACCACACCTAAAATGAAAGCAAACTAAAAGGACAGCTAGATCAGGAGTGGAAACATAGAAATGAAGATCTCAAGGAGGGTTAGCAACAGGGGAGTGGGAGAAGGAAAAGGGGGGAGAAGGTACAGAAAATAAGTAGCATAGACAGTAGATAGAAAATAGGTGTGGGGGCAAGAATAGTATGGGAAATGTAGAATCTAAAGAACTTGAGACACATGGTCATAAACTAAAGGGGGGGTAATGGTGGGGATGGGGGGGTAGGGTGGAGGGGAATGAAAGGGGGAATAGAACAACTGTAACAGCATAATCAATAAAAAATTTAAAAAAAAATACCTGTGGTGGTTAAGGTGCCGGGAGAAACTCCTAGCCTCATAGGAGAGTTTGTTGGAGAGACCCGCAGGGTCCTACAACATACACAAACCCATCCACATGGGAATCAGCACCAGAACGGCCCAATTTGCTGGTGGGAAGTGGGGGAAGTGATTGAAATCTGGCATAGAGTGGGGCAAGGGCCATTGTTCCGTCTCAGATCCCTGCCCCACATACAGCCTCACAACCCAGCAATGTGGGTTACCCTGCCCCCTGAATACCTAAGGCTCCACCCCTCACTACATAACAGGCACATCAAGACAAAAAATGGCCAAAATAAAAGAACAGATCAAAGCAATGAAGAGATAGCCAACCTATCAGATACACAGTTCAAAACATTGGTAATCAGGATGCTTACAGAATTGGTTGAATTCGGTCTCAAATTAGATGAAAAAAATGAAAGCTACACTAAGTGAAATGAAGGAAAATGTACAGAGAACCAATAGTAATGGGAAGGAAACTGGGACTCAAATCAATGGAGTGGACCAGAAGGGAGAAAGAAATATTCAACCAGCACAGAATGAAGAAACAAGAATCCAAAAAATTAAGAGAGGCTTAGGAACCTCCAGGACATCTTTAAACATTCTAACATCCAAATTATAGGGGTACCAGAAGGAGAAGAGGAAGAGCAACAAGTGGAAAACTTATTTAAGCAAGTAATTAAGGAGAACTTCCCCAATCCGGCAAAGGAAATAGACTTCCAGGAAATCCAGGAAGCTCAGAGAGTCCCAAAGAAGTTGGACCCAAGAAGGAACACACCAAGGCACATCATAATTACATTAGCCAAGATTAAAATGAAGGAGAGAATCCTAGAAGCAGCAAGAAATAAGGGGACAGTCACCTACAAAGGAGTGCCCATAAGACCGTCAACTGATTTCTCAAAAGAGACCTTCCAGGCAAGAAAGGGCTGGAAGGAAGTATTCCAAGTCATGAAATGCAAGGACCTACATCCAAGATTGCTCTATCCAGCAAAGCTTTCATTATAATGGAAAGGCAGATAAAGTGCTTCTCAGATAAGGTCAAGTTAGAGGAGTTCATCATCACCAAGCCCTTATCATATGAAACATTAAAGGGATTTATCTAAGGGAAAGAAGATAAAACATATGTGCAGTAAAGTGACAGCAAACTCAAAATTGTTAATCACACCTAAAACAAAAGCAAAAAAAACAAACTAAGCAAACAAGTAGAACAGGGACAGAACCACAGAAATGGAGATCACCTGGAGGGTTATCAACAGGGGAGTG